AAAAATAGCAGTACAACAAGAAATTGCCCCACATTCCTAAAACTTTCAAGGATCCAATCGAACTCCAAGGAAATGATTAGACATGCTATTAAATGCAAAACTTCAACATAAGTTGGCTTATTAACGCCCCTTGGCTTTAAGCACTCTGTTGCATCAAGTATTATAAACTCTGGGCCTTTTCCTGAGTTGCTATATAACAACTTCTTCTAGAAATGCAAGGTAAGGCTGCATATGAAAGAGACCCGGTGTCATCCGGCTCCCCATGGACATCACTACGCTCAAAGAATGGAAATTCAAAGTAGTCACTGAAATGCAAAGAAAATAAACAGGATAAACCTCATTAACTGCGCAGCCGGGGAATGCATGCAAAGCGGCTTTACGATCACTGGCAGAATAGCAATACTCTAAAGTGTTCCAGTATTCCTCAACAGCTTTTCTACTTGAAAGAACAAAATCATGTCTGATTTGAGGGCGAAGATCTGGACAATGAATAACATGAGATGAACCCACTGAGCAAACAGGTTCCTCAATGTGAGGTTTAAGCTCCAATGCATGAGTCAGAGTAGTATGAGGGAGATTTTCTGTGTTTTCTGGATGTCCACCACATACAAGCCGAAACAACTGCCATATATAATTACAAGATCAATTAACTACTGTATCCATAAACAACTCACAGAAACTCTTAACACCCAATACTTTCTCATTAAAGCACAGGAAGGAGTTTTAATATAATGAATTCCATAACTCAGTTTTGATTTTTCCATACATGAATCTTTTTCTTTTTCAGAGAGTGAATACTACCAGTTTTTTCACTAATATTTGCAGCTTTAGGATTAAGTTTACTTACAGGAATGGCTAGTAAAAATGTATTTCACAGGGAGAGATATGTTGTAAGGCAGTTACCACGAATTATAATTATCAACTTTCTTTGAATATTACTCCTGAAACTCCATACCTGAAACTCGTTACCTATTAGACGTGCCACAAGTGTCTCAAATAGCTTTAAACTACAGAAAATGCTATTTCTTTGAGTACTCCGCAGGTTCTAAATATTCTGGAAGAAAACAACTTTCTTTTAATCGGTAAAGAGTAACTTTATATTAGAATACCAGCAGAACAAAGTTGCTGAGATAATTACAAAGAAAACAATTTTCACTCTCATCAAAGTTCTCCCTTAAATAATTTCTGAACTTATTCAAGAGATATCAGTGACTGAATTGCATTTATCAGATTCTCTACAAGAAACCTGAACTACGTTATGATCTCTTCCTTTCATTGAAAAGCCTCTGGCATGCATCTAGTGGATAATGGAAACTGAAAGTGAACTCCAGCGGAACTGTTGGATAACATTTTAGGCTCCTATGGAAATAGGGCATGTAGATAGAAGAAAATTTGTCTTTTGAGAAAAGCATGAATGAATGGGCCCCTCTTCCAATAGCAACATTCCTATCCCAATAGTTCCTACAGCCTCTAGGAATCAAAACATTATGGGGAAAGCCTCGTCTAGAAACCACATTGCACCAAGCATCAACGATTGAAATTTTCGAAGTAAAATTCATCATACCTTCAAACGTCGTAAAATGTCAATCAACCATGATAGTCGTCCAATCGCTAAGATATCCATCAGACGCTTGTACTCCAGCAGAGGAAGATCAGAAAGGCAAAACCCATTTCTACATTTCTCTATCATATCCTCAAACTTCTGAGTAGATCCAACAACTTGTAAAAACAGTTCAAGCGGCATGGCCTTAATGGCTGCATTTAGATCAATTAATTTACATGTACTATGAGGATTTTTTAGGTCATGACCGTTTTTAAAAGATGACAAATCATCATCACAACAAGGCAAACTATTCACATATTCCCACAGATAGACGTGAAGAAGCTTTGTGCGAACCATCTTGGCCAGTACAAATCCATTTGCACGCATGGCTTCAGCTCGCTCAGCTTGGTTATCCAATTTTATGCTTTTATGGGTCCTGGTGAGATCATTCAGTTGAGGAATTGGCTCTCCCTTTTCCAATTGAGAAGAGGATTGAGTGCGAATTTGTGTCTCAAAAGACCTGAATCTCTCATGAATCTGTTCAGCAGATACAGTAGAAACCGAAGGGTGCAAAACCACCTGTATCCGACGGCTGTTTTTGCAATTTGTTAGAACAGGGACATAAACAACGATAAGTTTACAATGTCCTCCTTGCAAGAGCTTATTCAGACAACGATCTAAGGTCTTTCTGTCTGTCATTGTCGTCTTCTCCTTCTCAAGATCCTGAATCCGTCTGTATAGCTCTGATCTGACCAGGAACTTCTCCTCCTGATTAAAGACAAAATATTTGTGATACTTCACCTGTGGAAATATGTAGCCTAACGGACAGAAGAGCTTAAAAGAACGGGCGAGTAAAAACACCTGTAGAAGTTTAAGTATCCACTGCTCCCTCTTTGCATTGGCTGCATCAAATGTAAGACAGGGATACCTTGGATAAGATCGGCGTCTTGAAGGTGAAGGCACAGCAAGAGCCAGCGCTTCCACTGGCGCAACATTCAGTGATGCTGCAGTCACAGGCTGTAACTCTGGATCAGAAGTGGTACTGCTTACCTTGATGGTCGAGTCCGGTGATCTGCTCAGAAAAAGTGGGACAGATTCATCCTTTTCATCCAGCACCAAGCCATCAGAAACTTTTGGTTTGATTCCTGTGTTTACAGTTTCGCTATTAGCTACACTGTCATCTTCAGGAACTGAAGCATCCACTGCTTGTATGGTTAATGCCGAGTTCTCTTGAAACTCTAAATCTGTTCCAAGTGGAGTGCAACCAGAAATTTCTGAAGGGTCTACTACTGGTTCATTCAGAGTGATAGTTGAAGCTCCAGGATTACGGTTTCCAGGCGTCCAGAGTCGGTAACCCTTGGCTTTGTTCATGAGTTCTGGCTCCATATATATTCCGAATCTATTAATAATATCAAACAGCCGACCATAGTGTTGTTTGTTGTTTATTCCCAGCCTTTTGCACACCTGTGTACATTATAATGGCAAAGAATCACATATGTACATATGAAGGAACCCTCACATAAGAGTCATATTTTTGAAAGTCAATGCACACACATACAGAAATGCAACTATAAATTATCCAAATTATACACATGTATGAGTACCAAATCACCACATACCCGACTCACAAAAAATTCAAAATATTATCCAAGGCTTGAAGAATGATCATAAAGACAAAAAATGAGGCTTTGGGTGAAATTACACCTAAAAAGATCATAAAGACATAATCAACTTGAGTTCAAAGTTGACTGACAAAAGAACCAAAAAATTATGATCCAAGACACAAATTATAGATCGATGAAATTACACCAGAAATGAAGAAGAGAATATACACGTAAAATAACAGCAGCACTAGCAAAATGACACCAGCATTAGATTAGATATTCATAAAAGAAAATATCCAATACCTCAATGAATGGCAACCCTCTACCTCCCTCAGCATCAACCATATCGTAAATCTGATGCTCTATAGGAAGCTCTAAAAGCAGGTCCGAAATGTGACCTCTCTTGGCCTTTTTCATTGCTGTTTCATTATCAAGATCATCACATCCACGCATGCTAGATTTTGGCTCAAAATGTTTTCGTGAAAACGCCTTTAATAGATATAGACACTCGAGTTCCTGCGAAGGTGCAAAAGCTAGGCAATTAATTAGCCAGTCAAAGTCCTAATTCATAGGCTGCAGTTTTTTTAGCTAATATTCACACAAAATGAAAACTTTTGTCAGAGTACAGTCAGCTACCATGTTGTGAGCAGTAATAATATACGTAAGAGCTTAAGACTCTTCTTTTTTTGATGAAGTAAACAAAATTTGTTGATAGTCGGGCAAAAACCTGCATACAAGTGGTATACCAAAAAGTAAAAAACCTAACAAAAACAAATGGCTCTCTACAAACGTCACCCAATCGTCTGTACATACAGGAATCTCATGAGTGCACCAAAAAGCAATAAGGGCCAAGAGGCTATTGAGGCTATTTCTTAACTGTGAAATTATTCTCTACCCTTCGAAAACTCTTCTATTTCTCTCTCTCCACACGACCCACATAAGTGCAAGTGGAGCAACCTTCCACGCCCTGGGGCTCCCCCTCCGTCTTCTGCAATTCCATCTAAACAATATTTCTTTCACTGTGTCGGGCATCACTCAAAATGTACCAAACCGATACAGGATTTCCCACCATAACCAAGAAGCTACCGAGCAATGTAGAAGGAGATGGTACGCGTCTTCACCTGATCCCTACACATAGAACACCAGCTGACGTAAGTAATTTTCCTCTTCCTTAGATTATCAGCCATTAAGATCACCCCTCGTGCTGCTAACCAGATGAAAAAACACACCTTTCTCAGTACCCTAGGGATACATACCGAAAAACGTGGAAAGTCTACCTCCTCCCTGATCAAAAGTTTCCTATAATAAGACTTAACAGAAAAAACTCCACTGTTCCCTGGCTTCCACCTCCATACATCGCTGTGATCCTGAGATGTACTTTGTTTGATAAGTAATTCAACCAATCTTTGAAATTCTGACACCTCACAATCTTAGAAGTTCCTCTTAAAGCTCAAATCTTAGAAGTTCCTCTTCCCTGTTGATGACACATACGGGTTTTTTCTTTATAAGACGTAGAGGGATAAAAGTGGAACTTTGAAATCTGTTTAGTTAGAAAGAAAATGAAGACATGAAAAGGTGAAGGTAAGAAACTTGCACTGGAATCTATTGTAAGTAAGTTAGCCCCCCCCCCAAAAAAAAAGGAAAAAGTTAAAGAAAACTATCAGATCAACCCCATGAATCTTTGCCCTATTCTTTGGACACAAACATCAGTTATGTCATAAAGAGTAACTTAGCAAAAGACAATATCCACTACCAATCTCCAAATCCAACTCTTTTAGCTTACTGAACAAGTTGTAGATATTTTCACAAAAGGTCTTTTTAGAACTACTTTTGAGTCTTCCGTCAGTAAGTTAGCCATGTTCGATATTTACATGCCAACTTGAGGGGGAGTGTCAAATGAGGTAATCTGCTCCTCGAATGAGCTGACGGATTTGATTATAATCTGCTCCTGTAATATAGGTTAGCAGATATTTTAGGAAAAGTTGTTAGGAGTTATTCTAGGAAACAATTCAGATGAAATTCCTTGATTCAAGGATCTCCTACGAACTAGGAATTAATTAGTCTATGTTGATGTACTTGTTCTCCTATAAATACTGTACAATTCTATTATTAAAAGCAAGGCCTTTTCTACATCTAAAGTTTCAGTAGAAATTGGATTAAACAGCTGCAAAAGATCTAATCAAAAATATTCTTTATTGTAAGTGATAAAGTTGGTTGAAACACCTATCAAACAATAAAGAAACCTAGCATAAATGATCAACAATAATGAAACTGCATTCCACTAGATTAAATTTGTTCAGAAAGCAGGTGTAATTCGCGGATTCCTAACAAATGTGTTCATTCCAATAGGAGAAAATTTTAGAAAACTAATTATACGACCCTTGGACCTAATTCCATAGATGAAAAAGAGAAACAATAGAAGAAATGGGAGAATATGCAGTGGAGTCATGAGCTCTTCCATGACGTCATAGATATTTGTAAAAGTGTAATAGATATTTGACCCAAAAAAGTGTAATAGATAAAACCCACAGCAATTGGTACTTATAAAGTACTTTTCACTTACCTTCCCGTCTACTATGACTTTTTCCTTCTTCACCACTTGAGCTTCCTTCAGCTTGTTGAGAACCTAGGGTAAAAGTTTTGGTAAAAGATTCAATAATGATGCATGTGATGGGTTCACAAGTTGGAATATACTTAAGGTAAAACATAATAGAAAGGAAATCAGTGGAAAAGAAGGTACAAATCTCCATCGCCTATGCCCGGAAGTCATTCGGTAACCAAGTTCTTGCTTGATATCTGTTATAGCAAGGACCTTTGTACATGAAAAGAAATAAAAGAATCAGCAATAGTGTACATCTAAAAACCAGATAGATGTAGCATTCAACTTTACAACCAACCTTTCCTTCAGTTTTTTCAAGCTTATCACAGATAGCTTCTAGTTCCGGAAGAAAATCTTTTACATGCACATCTACTTTAAAAGATTCCTCAGCGACACCACCACTATTTTCATCTCTTCCATCAATGATCTCACTATCCGCCAAGGAATTATCCCCCTTGGTTATCTCAAGCCTTTGTTGACTACCCAAATTCTTTGCGTAGCGTGATAAGTAGAGCATATTGGTATTAACTGGATTTTTTTTCAAGTCCCCTTCTCCGTCCATGTCTCTTGTCCTAACAATTGTTGACTGTCTGACAATCAATCCTCGGCTTTCAAGCTTCTTCAATATGTAGAACATGTCATTTCCTTTAATGTCAAAGTCTTTACCAAGCTCATTTTGGGCGATTCCATTTCCTCTGAAACTCGGTCATAGTTAAGAGACTTTGATCAGCAATAAAGCTACTTCCATTACTATGAAAAAAAAGAGTATTTGAAGTTGAAAAAGGGTATTTGGAAGTTGAGTTGTGTTTGGACATGACTTTCACTTGGAAAAAAAAGTTAAATTTTGTGTGTCGAAACTATTGTTTCATTTGAAAATTGAAACACTTCTCAAACAACTTTTTCAAATTTCAAATTTCAAATTCTCTATTTCAAGTTGAAGTTCTCTTAGTGCTGATTTTTTTATATCTATAATACCTTACCATTTCAAAAATAAAAAGTTGAAATTGAAAGAATGGACCAGATTGTAAAACAAACACTTATTTGACAAAAGAATTTCAAATATCATCTATAAGCCCCAACCCAATGAATAACTTCCTTTACCTTCTCCAAATTTTCTCAAGGTTTCACTTAAATTTCCACCTTTCAAATCACAGAGTAAAACTACAACCTCTAACTAAGCACAGCATAAGCATGATTTCACCAAATTTCGCTACAAAAAAAGACTGCTGATTTACGACAGCTTATATAATTGCTATATGCTCGTCCCAAAGGGATGAGTGATGCTTAAGATTAACAACCTGGAGATTCCAGGTTCAAATCCCAATTACAACCCTCAATGTGAGCCCATTTTCTTCAAGTTTACCCAACATCTATAATTTTAGTCTATAGTAGTTTACATTAGTCAAGGTGAACACAAGCTGCCTTACTCCTCGAAAAATAATACTCCCTCTGTTCCAATTTATATGGCACCCTTTCCTATTACAAAAGGAATGTGCATTATAAACTTCTTATTTTACCCTTAATTAAATGATTAATACTGTAGCTACAACGTTTTGAAAGTAATTTTTTTCTTAAAATTCCGTGCTCACTCAAACTATGTAAGTAACGGTAAGCAATTGAAATATGCTCAGAAAAGAAACAGAGAAAGAATTGAATGAAAACCTAAGAGTCGCGAGGCAACCAAGAGCACGACGTTCAGGCTTAGAAAGCTTAGCATCAGAGGCTTCAATATCATAAATTCCAACGAAATTATCACACATATAATCCGGCGCCACGATTTTCAAATTCAATCGCTCACTTTGCTCCACTGAACGAATACAATTATCCTCCTGAGAATTATAAACAACGCCATGGGATTCGAATTTAAGGCCTGGAATGTCAATAAGGTTAGACCAAATGACCTTTTTGACGTTTGGGCAAAGTTTAATGCCTTGATTTGAAATTGAAGGCCGTAGCTTTTGCCAGAGTTTAGAGAGAGGGAGACCGGATTCGCCATGCGCGCAGATTTCTTCGAGCGCCGAGTTAACGATGGTGTCCATTGGAAGGAGCAAAATTCATTACTGTGGGAACTTAAACTGAAAACTGAGTTGAGAAAGAGAGCCAATGGTATTTTGTTATTCTTTATAAGATCACGATTTACGAGTCACTATTTTTCTAATTAAAAAGGAAATATTCAAATAATAATTACTTCCAATTTCTAGTTTACTCCAGTAACTTATTCCATAAACATAAATATAATTTGCAGTACCGCTAACTACAAGAGAATATTTTTTCGGATTAATGTAGCATCATTTGAACTTTCGACCATAAATTATAGTTGAGTTATTTGGGAGAAATTCAAAAATAGCCAAATTTACAAGTGGTAATTGAAAAATAGTCACAGTTTTAAAAGTAATTGAAATATAGCCACTTTTTATGTAAAGATAAATCTGAACGAAAATACTGTTCAAAATCCGAAAAATATTC